CATGTGGCCAATAAGGATGTGCCAAATATCCCTGGTCCTACCCAGCCTTACCCTATCCAATAGAGATCCAGTAGTGCCACCCAGGCTCCACCCCCGCCTTGCCCTATATAAGCCTGTGCATTTCCTGAGTAATGCTGTGTTCCAGAAACCTCCTCCGAGCCTGCATGGTGATTCCGCCGCCTTGCCCGCCCAGTCCTGGCCCCTGAACCCGAGTCTGTGATCGGCCTCGTAGCCAAAACAGCAATTGGTGCTAAACAGGGATTCGCGTATACTGGGTAAAGATTGAAGTTTTGGGTAAGGAAACCTATTATGAGTAATGTCATGAGTCAAGAACGCCAGTACAGGCCTCCTTAGTAAAGGGCCCTCATGCCGTAAAGGCATCCAAGGCGTTTCCAGCCCAAACTCAGGTGAGTGTAGGGCTCCCCGAGCGCTCTAAAGATGGTGGACAAAACCCTCTTAAAAAGGTGGTGCTGGCGGGCTGTCTTTTCCGCTTTCTTCTTCCCCAAAGGCATCACCCCTGCCCGCTGGTCTCTCACTTCCTGTCAAACCCCCTCCTCGCTGGAATAATGGTCATCGGGAAGAGCCTACCTTTTCCAGTCCAAGATGGCTGCCTCCACCCTGTGCGCTGCCATCTTGTCAGATGAGGAGAAATAATCCTTTGATCAGGCCTTAGCATGGCTTCGGGGTCCTGGGCCTCTGGGCTGCCCAGCCTCCTCCTCCAAAGCCTGCCCGGTGCAGCTGAGAGCTCCAGAAAAGTTTCAAAGCGAAAGACCTACACCTTTGGGGTGCCGGGGAGCCTGCTGAGCCGGGAGGGGAGCCTGGTCAGCGGCCTAGTCCGACAGCTACATGGTGGCCGAATGTCCTTTTGTCTTCCCCAGCCTCTGCTGTCCTGCCTCCCACCTCGGATCCCTGTAGCCCTGGCTGCTCCTGGCCCTGCTCCCTGGGGGCGTTAGGGCCCAGCGGGCCAAGAGGGCTGTGAGCGTGGGTTCCAGGCCAGTAGGATGGGAGCTGTGCGGTCCCCCGCGTGTGGCCGTGGGGACTGGCTGCTGTCTGGCCTGTGGCTGCTGGCACTGAGCGGTCCCTGGGGCCACTGCGTGCCCAGGAACAGCCTTCCATCTCTACTTCATCCTGGACAAATCCTCAAGTACCTAACCCCCCTATCTTTATCTTGTTCTGCCTTCCCCTTTCACATTCGTATTACCCCTTATATTGATCCTTCTTTGTTTACTCATACAGAAACTTGGAGTTTATATTTTGCTAGAACACCCCCAGCCATTTGGGTCCCCGTTGATGTCCATATGGAATGACAAAATTCAGATCCTCTCTTTCCGCAGGAAGAAAGATTTTGAAATTTCCACCTTTATTGCTGTCATCGTTTCCATAGTGGCAGCTATTTCCGCCACAACAACGGCAACAGTCACCTCACCAAATCAAGTGGTGACAGCAGCAATGGTCAACCAGCTATCAAAAAAACATCACCTAAGCCTTCAAAAAGACCACCCTGCTATTTCAAGATGTCTGCACAGCTGTACTCAATTTACAAATCCAATTAAACTTGGTTTGGGAGGAATTATTACCCAGGTGTTAGATGTTATAACTTTAATGTGTGGGATACCATTTGGTCAAAAATTTAGGTTGGATGGAATAATTTGAGTAGTTGCAAACGTGGATTGATATTGGGATCCCCATATAAATTAATGTTGTTTTGCATAATGTTGTTTTTCTTTATTTTAAAGATCAGACATGCCAGTAACAAAATCATAAAAATGTGGTCCTTTTGGCTGAAGCTCTGGAGTCAGAGGCAAACTTGATTCAAAGGAGGAACTGAGGATCAGGTTAATATCTGGCTGAATCAGGAGCGCCACACCCATCTCTCCTGAGAAAACTCCAAGGCCTATTAGGGCTGGAATAATCCGTCCCTTCAGGTGTGTAGAGATCTGACCTTAGACAGATAAACTGTTCCTCTGAAAAACCTCTAAAGTCCTGACTCCATTGCCTCAGCCCCTAAAGCATACAATCCAAAAACTAACATGTGGCCAATAAGGATGTGCCAGAAATCCCTGGTCCCACCCTGCCTTACCCTATCCAATAGTGATCCAGTAGTGCCACCCAGGCTCCACCCCCGCCTTACCCTATATAAGCCTGTGCATTTCCTGAATAATGCGGGAGCATTCCTCCCCAGAGTTTGCATGGTGATTCTGCCACCTTGCCCTCCCAGTCCAGGCTCCCTGAACCCTGTTCTGCGAGCGGGCTGGTGGACGAAACAATAGTATACTTTAAAAGGGTAAACTGTATGGCATATAATTTGTATCAGTCAGTCAATGCTTATTATAGAAACCAATTTAATGCAGGATATACAGATATATAAAGATTTACAAGACTGGCTTACTACGGCCACCCCCAAAATCAGGAAGAGTGCAAACGGTCTGTCTGCATGATCTGGGAACCCAGTTGAAGACTCACTATAGTGCCCTGTGCAAGTCCATATCGGGAGGCTGAAGACCACATCCAAGGTGAAGGTAAAGACTGGAGCTCCTCAGAAGAAACGGAAGCCAGCCTTCCCTCTTCACTTCCCTTTATACCATCCAGGTGACAGGCCACCCTAAGGTGGGTTCTGTCTTCAGTAAACCCCCTCAGCCACACTCAGAACTATGCTGATCCAATCTAGTTGGGCAATTCTTATTCAAGTTGATGCGATCAGTTAACTGTTGCATAATTAATATCTCAATGATGTTATTTATTGATTGATTTATTTTTTGGTACCAGGGATTGAACTCGGGTCCTTGTGCTTGCAAGGCAAGCCACCGAACCGCTGAGCTGAATCCGCGGCCCTTCAAAGGTATTATTTTAAAAGTGAGTGACTTCAAGACTCCATAGAGCACTACCAGGATATAGTGAACACAAGGAGGGACAGATTTAGAGGAAGGAAAGATGAGTTTGGGTCATACTAAAATTAAGACTGATATTTTAAAATATTTAGATAGGAATATCTATTATCGGAAATGTGTTTGTCTAAAGGTTGGGGGCGGATTTGAGTATTTTCTGTACAGAAGTGGTTAGAACCATAGGAGTATAAAATAACGAGTGAAAAGAGATGATCCAGTCAAAATGGAGTCTTGACAGACACTCCAGGAAGGCATCAAGGGAGAGAACATTATCCCAAAAAGAAAGAAAAACTATTTTTAAAAAGGCCTGGAACATACAGAGAACTGACAAATATGGCCAGTGTGGCAGAGCCCGGAGGTAGAGGGGGAAAGGCGAGCACAGATGAGTCGTCAGAGCTGAGCTCATAGAAACTTCGTAGGCAGGTTTCAGGATGCTTGTTCCTTAAGAATGATGTGAAGCTATTAAACAGGGCTACTCATAATTAAATTGGTATTTTTAAATGATCACTCTAGCTGTAACGTGGAGAATAATTTAGAAAGAGGTCTGGCCAGAAACGGTGATGAGAGATATTGACCTGATACAGGATGGTGACGATGAAGTTGAAGAACTTTGAGGATTTCAGCAACCTTGGTATGGATCAAATATGGATGGTAAAGAAGAAGCAAGTATCAAGGAATACGTCTCATTTTCTGCCTTTTGCTGTTGCCTGAATGGCTAGTGGTACCCTAGAATGGGGTAGAAAAGAAATCCATTGTTGGAGATGAGTGAAATGGTGACTGTCAGAATCCAACATTGAGAAGAAAGCTGTGCACATAAGCCTGCGGCCCACCAGAGAGCTCTGAGCTGAAGATGATAATTTACAAGTGGTCAGAAAGTAGTTAGTAGTTGAAGCCGTGGAGTGAGTGAGATTGATTAGGGTAAGAGAATACAGCAAGAAGCAAACAAGACCAGTCTAAAGCTACAGGATTAATGACATTTAACTGTCAAGTTGAGAGTGAGCCACTGAAAGAGTGGGAGAAAAGAGTTAATCAGAGAGGGGCCGGGGATTTAGCTCAGTGGCTCCGCCAACTGCCTTGCAAGAGCAAGGCCCCAAGTTCGATCCCCAGTAGTAATAAAAAAAAAAAAGTTGATCAGAGAAATAGAAGGGATATCAGGATAATCAAGTGTTATGGACACCAAGGAAAAGTTTTCAAAGAGAAATAAGCAAGTAGCTTTGGGTGACGCTAAGTGACTAACAGGAAAGACAGAAAAATGTCGGTTGTAAAAAACCAAAATAATCCCCTGGCAAAAATTTGCCATAGTAGATTAAATTACAACACAGAAATCTGAACTCAACTTTTTAATGAGGAGTGTGACTGATAGTGTTTCTTGCTGAACATGCCTTGCAAATGTTAAAAGGAGTCCCTGTTGATGACTGGGGAACTGAAACTTGGTATCATTCCAAGAAGCCTTAGTAAGAAGCCATGACTCAGCCATCTGGAGAGTGCTTCAGAGATTTCCAAAACCATAGTCTCCTGGCTTCCCCCTTCCTATAACCTCCACCCAAAGAAGGCCAGAAGGTAGCAATTAGCTTGGAATTTCTATAATTTCTGTTAGTTTCTAAAAACAAAGAAGTTAGATACCCATATTAGACTCACCAAGTCTTTTGATAGCTCAAAAACACATTATTTCATAAGTTCATCTTTCCCACTTTCATATAACTCATTCCCACCTTCAGCAACCTAAAAGTTCGTGCTCTAATTCTTTCTGAAAATAAATTAGGGTTTATCAATTAGAAATGTAACGACACTAGCATTGTAAATTACAGTAGTGTCCAACCCTTTTTGCAAAATTGTGATATTCCAGTAATGACTCCAGTGCTGATGGTTATCAGTGAGGTAGGATGGTGATTTTCTGTTATTTAAGGTAATTTAATCCAAGAAGAACGTAAACATTATGAAATTTTATACTTTTGGGTAGATCTATTTTACATGCATTTGAAAGCTAGCTCTATTTAATCATTTTTTATTACATAAACTAATGATGTGGGTAATGTTGTTGACTTTTTATTCATCTCTTAATGGGTAGTTTCTGACTAACCCACATTAATGTCCTTCTACAGTGCTGCTAAATGATATGATCAAAGTCATATTGGAAAATGACAAATCATTCATCAAGAACCACAACCCTAAGTTACAGAGGTGATCAAATGCATCTGAAAGGTATGTATGAGATCTCTCACAATTGTTCAAGAAATATTAAAGTATCTCTCTGCTTGACTGTACACTGTGTGTAAAAGCTAGGCTGCCCTACTAAACTTTTTCCAAGTTAATTAGCTAAGTTTGACGTTCAGGGCTTGTGTACTTTACAACTAATGAGCCATTAATGAGCCCTTATTTTTTCAGAGGCTAAGGCCTGGTAGTAATGGTTTTGGATTTTACAGCGCCTCTGCTTTTCCTTTTTCTCCTTTTCCTTTTTCTGCTGCCTATTTTTGAAATATGCCATCCCTTGTTAGTATTTCCACTTGGCAAGGAAGCAGAGAAAGGAGCTGAAAGTTAATTCCATTCATTTTACCTTTTGCTAGCAGCAATGGAGGAAGATTTATCACAGGAAGAAGTTGAAAGTATTGGCTGAAATGAAGTTCAGGGAATATAGTAGATTTCAATTACTTGTGCTCTCACTCTGTTCTTCAGCCAAATAATCCGGTCCTGGTCATGCAGTCAGCTGTTCAAGTCCAATTATCTCAAGTGTGGGGTGTCCCCACACCCCGCTTTCCCTCCTCTGCTGCTCTATCTACCCAACTTGGTCAGCAGTCTTATGCTTTACTAACTCTGCCTGGAAACAGCAGCCCAGCTGGAGTATGCCTTCTACAAAACATGAGAAATCATAGTGCCAAAGACACAGCCCTCTGAGGTGGCTTAGAATCAACTGGGCTGAGCTTCTGCACTTCTAGCAAGCTGCCTTGTGATCTTATCCATTTGTTGCTAGTCTGTGGATCCAAGTACAGGAAGCTTGAGGAAACTTGTGGGCAATAGTAGATAAGAACTCATACTACTTTTACTTAAGTTATGGAGAATAGTAAAACAAAGGTTTTCTGTGGTGCATTTTTGTCCAAATACAGGAAGATACATATTTTTGCCATGCATCAGTGACTTTCAAACACGTATTATTAAAAGCAAAATTTCTTTTTTAAAAGAAATATTTTATGAAACTGCAATATATATATATATAT